AACTCTTCCTGCTTATTCCCCATGCTGTGTGCATTAGCATACAGGCATTTCAGGAAGCAAACAGAGCACACTGGTGGGACTAAATCCTCCTTAGACCACCTGCCTTCGGGCCCTGGTTCATTCTTCTTGTGCTTTTCCCTAACAGACCCAGTTTTCTCCCCTTCCCCCTTCACATCTCGTTTAAAGCTCTCTCGATGAGCCCTGCTAGTGAGTTTAGCACAGTAAGAAAAGGCAAATGAAAATACATTCCTGAAAGATCTGCCTACGTGTAATTTGTAAATGAACCAAAGACAGACCTCCAAGAATTCAACTCACACGTGAAGCTATTTCAGTACCAGCCAGCAGTCATTATATAATTAAAGCTACAAAATCCTTTTTTTCACCTAGAATAAGTTCACTAAAGGCTGTAGTTTTGGGAGGACCTAAATGATGCTTAAATTCTACTAATATTTTTAGGCAAGGCACTAATGTGGGATAGGTATGAACAGCAAAAACATGGGAACAATTTATCAAATAACTTTTAAAGGAAATATTTCATTCTGAGTGATGTTTATATATTGGTCCCTTTTAGACATTGATCTGTGCTTTTAAAAAGGGAAGCAAATTTAAAATGTTGAATCTGAAAACATTTCATTCACCCCTAAGTGAAATTATTTCTTTAACATTGATTAGTTGCAATGTAAATTCAATTTTAACCTTTCCCCAAGACACATGAAAACAAACAATCGGAAAGGAAAAGTAGGCACGATTTAGCATTTACTGAAGGTGACATTTCTTTTTAGAAATTAAGAATAAGACTTATTTCTTATAGACTGTTACACTATTTGGCTTGCTAAATACCCTTAAGTACTTACATCTTATTTCATGGTTTTGACTTATTTTTGTTTTCTAAGAAGCAAATTGCATAGTAATGGATACAACATTAATGGACAACTGGCATTGCATGGCATTTCCAGAAAAATCACTATAGATTTTGAGCCTAGTTAGTTTTCAAACAATAAAAAAACACGATCATGCTGACAAGAAGTCCCCTAAACCCGCTGATGATTTTAACTCTAGCTCAAGGCTAAGCTGACTTGCATATGCCACTTTTTTCCTCCTCAGCTCTGCACTTGTGGTTTCTGTAAGACAATGCAATGCATCTAAACCTTGTGCAAGATCCCTTCATCCTCAAGTCACTGCAGAAAATCAAAATTCAATTCACAATCACTGCTTTGCTTAAAAAAATCCATCTCTTTTGTTTTGCTGCTGGGTTCACATGTACCACTGCAGGTAAGTTCTTGAACTTGTACCAGCTGGGGTACAGGACTCCTGATCAAGCCTAAGCACTTCTTGAAGCATTTTTAATTAAAGAAGTGCCAAATGTAAATAATTCCTAAAAAAAATTTTATCCTAACTCATTCCAAAGAGGTAAGGCAACATTTTCTTATGTAGCTATTCAAAATATGAGGAAAACACTAAAATACTATTTTATACAAAATTGTGTCGTATTCACAAATAACACACATTTTTCTAGAAAAAAACTAGAAAACTAGAAAATTTCAGAAACTTGGCACAATATTAGAGATATTGAAGTCTCTCCTCTATTTTCTACTACATATCAGGCTACACAGCTCTCTAAAGCCAGAGAAACTCTTGGCTTCAACAAAATAGCACAAAAATAAAAGCTGTGCCATGCAAAAGCAAAACCTTGCATATGAAACTGTTAGAATCCCTCAATTTCAAAGGAATAAACCCCATGTAATTATGGTAGCTCCGAGTGTCCTGGTAGCCATTAATTTTAAACAAGAATAAAAATACTCCATATTCTACACTGCCTAGCAATGTGCCCTTGTGGCCAAGAAGGCCAGTGGCATCCTGGGGTCCATTAGAAAGGGTGTGGTTAGTAGGTCAAGAGAGGTTCTCCTCCCCCTCTATTCTGCATTGGTGAGGCCACATCTGGAGTATTGTGTCCAGTTCTGGGCCCCTCAGTTCAAGAAGGACAGGGAACTGCTCGAAAGAGTCCAGTGCAGAGCTACGAAGATGATTAAGGGAGTGGAACATCTCCCTTATGAGGAAAGGCTGAGGGAGCTAGGTCTCTTTAGCTTGGAGAAAAGGAGACTGAGGGGTGACTTCATCCATGTTTACAAATATGTAAGGGGTGAGTGTCAGGGGGACGGAGTTAGGCTTTTCTCAGTGATGACCAGTGATAGGACAAGGGGTAATGGGTGCAAATTGGAGCATAGGAGGTTCAAGGTGAATATCCGAAAAAGTTTTTTTACTGTGAGAGTGACAAAGCACTGGAACAGACTGCCCAGGGAGGTTGTGGAGTCTCCCTCACTGGAGACATTCAAAACCCACCTGGATGAGTTCGTGTGTGATGTACTCTAGGTGACCCTGCTCTGGCGGGGGGTTGGACTAGATGATCTCTCGAGGTCCTTCCCAGCCCCTAAGATTCTATGATTCTATGAAATTTGCTTATACAGCAATGGAAACTGAAAATTATGCAGCTTTGAGGTCCAAAAAATGTAGGAGCCAAATGCTTTTCTGGGGTTCAAAAAATAAATACAGAAAATAAATAATATATTTTAAGATAAGAAAGTATTAATATAGTAATCTTCTCTGAGTTATACAGGCAAAAATATCGCACAGTAATTCCTATCTTACATATAATTCCTGGTTGATTTTGTTCACTTTAAAAAACAAACAAACCAACGAAAAAACCCCACACAACAAGACTAGCTCCACTATGAAATTATTTATCATCATATTAAGGAACTGCACAGTAGAAATCAGTTATAAGTATCTGTATAGTTAATGACTAGCATGTCCAAAAAGATGGACCTTATCCTTTTGCAACCCTGGCATCAGTTCATGGAAGTAAAATATTTTTTCAGTGGAACCAAATGCCTGCTTTGCAAATCTAAGTCCAATAGTTCTTTCTATATAAAAAAAATAATGGTAAAATAAGTTCTGTAGCACATTTCTGAAGGAAGCAGAAAGTTTCTAACAATGAGCAGAAGTCAAACCTAAGCAGTAACTTAAATTGGCAATTTAAGAAGGTAAAATGGAAATGAGCTATTGTGAAATCTAACTCCATGTGTATTAGTGAATACTCTCGTCAGAGCAAATATAATCTATAGATTACTCTACTGTTCTCTGTTTTTTTTTTTATAAATCAGAAAATTAATTACCTAGACAATAGTGTCCTGTAGTAGGTTTAATGTATAATTTATATATGGAAATTTAAGTGTCAACACTGTAACAAATCATCACAAAAATATTTTTGCAGTTAGGTTTTTCTGCATGTCTTCCACAAAGAATGAGCATAATACAGATTCTCTCAATGATATAATGCTGTTTTGGTATGTGGAGCTGAACTGCATTTTTAATTTTTTCCCAGCTACAAATCAATCAAAATGCATAAGCTTTTTGTGCTGTTTGACAGAAGATTTGTATTTTGACATCAGCCCTCTTAGGAGAACACCGTTCACAGTAAGAAGAAAAATAAAATATTAAACAGAACAAGGATTTCCACTGTCCACCTTGCCATCTGTGAGGGGACATTTTAAAATCCCATTATGGCTGATTAGGATGCTCTGAACATTCTCCCTTTATTTTAAGGCTACAATTGTAACTTTAGAGACATTTAATAAAAGTCTTCACTTCAAGTGAGTCTTAGAAACCAGTTTTGCGTGGAAACACATTTCTTTAATAGTCTTAGAATTGTTAACTAATGGGATTTTTTAGGGTGCAAAGGCTCAAAAATTTTTTAAAAGTCACAATTTCTGCATTGAGGAGCTCCAAGCAAAGCTTTCTACCATGGGTGTGTTAAGACCCAGTGTTTAAACAATGACTGAGGGACACACACTGCTATTAGCTTTTTCAAAATCAGCTACTCAGAATTACTAGAAATTCTGAATATTCAAATTTTAATAGATTCAGAGATAGGCTAAGATCTTTGGCATTTACAGATCTCTGTAACATATCCTAGTTAAGTGTAGAATTGCTGCAACTGCATTTCCAAGGTGAAAATTATTTCTATCTTGCCTCAGCCTAAAAACTTCATCTGGTGAATGGGGAAAGAG